TTTTTTAATGTCTCTGTAAAAGAACTTTGAATCACCTTGCTGTTGAATTGTGCTATATAAATAAACTTGCCTTGCCTTGCCTATTGCCCAAGTCAGTAACTCTATCAGCTTATTGTGGCTTATGGCGCACTAAACATAACCTTTACTCACATGCATACAACCACACAAATGCTCACAAATCTTTAAAACTAAAGGATCACCTATTCCAAACTTGGAAAACAGAAAAGAAATCTCAATTAGCAATCACAAATAAACAAAAGAAAATGTAACACAGCAGCAGAGTGGCTGTAAAGTGTCCACTCAGCCACAGGGGAATGATGACACTCCAATGTTACAGTTGTCCCATGTGGCTCTGTCTACTGCCACCACCCTGTCCCCATCAAGCTTGAATTATCCATGGTAAACAGAACATAATACTTGGATTTTACACATAATGTCCTATAAAGGTCTTGTCAGTCTGAAGTACAGAGGAGTGCTTCTCCCAGAGAGACCGCGAAAAGGTCCTTTTTGTGTGGCGCCCGGTGAGGCTGAGATTTAACTTGAAACCACACCTCTTCTGCCTGGCAAATGTCAGACCGAAAGATGAAAGGCAACGCAAGGGCTTGTAAGGGCTCTCTGGAGATACTCAGGCTGGCTCAAATTTGTTTCCTTTTTTTGAATCACATTTACAGATACACCTGGTGGAGTGCTTCTGCTACACACTTTTTATGCATTGAATTCTGCTGTATCAGTCAGGTTAAATCTACTGTAGATGCATTTGTTTGCTCACAAACCTGGGAGATCATTTATATCAATTTACTGTCTGTCATAATGTTGCTGCTGAGTAAATATATGCATTCATGCGGATCATATCGTTGAATATGTCCACATAAAAGTGTGTTTCCACTTCGTGCTCATGCTTCAGCACATGATTTTCATAATGGCTCACTCACGCTAGAGCAGACCTTCCCAAAGTGTGGGGCCCGCCCCCATTCCAGGGGGGGCATGGCATGAAAAGGGAAAAAAAACAAAAAAACAAAAACCCAACGCTTGGACACTGCTAGCACAGGGCGCCTACACAAACGCAAAGCAGGAGATGAAGCATAGCTGAATATGTTTCCAAACCAACTTCATTCTAAGCCAAAGACTAGAAAATATGGTGAAGCAAGTCTTCCCTTTGGTTTCACCTGCATAAGTGCCAAGGTAGGTCTCTCCTGCAGAATTGGTTTTCCCTGCGTCGGGAGCAGCGCTGGGCTCTTCAAATCACGGACAAACAGTATCCCACATTCTTGATTTTTAGTTCACAAACACTTGTTGTAATGACTAACTACTCCTGACATTTTGGAGATGTTAGCTCTTCATACAGTACAGTTACAGTGGGATACAAATAATATCAGGCTGATCCTGCCACGATTTGTTCCCCCTGTCTAAATCACGGACAAACAGTATCCCACAGTTGTTTATGTTTTTAAACCCATTTTGCACATTTTCCTGAAAAATTTATTGATAGCAATGTTGAATATTATTACACAGGAAAACAACAACTACATGTAAAATAATCACACCGTGACGCCTCTGCCTTTCTAAATAGAGGGACAGTAACTGCGTGTTTATATGTAAGACTGTAAAACCTGAAGATGGAGACAAAATACTGTTTATCTGCCATTCTGCATTTCCTCTCATGTAAGCAACAACGTGGTGCACAGCTGAAGTGAAAAAGGTACATACCTTTGACGTTGTGTGACGAACTCTGTATTCCTTGTCCACACGTAAATGCAAAAAAGGAGTTTTAAAAAATCTCCGTTTTCGGTGATTTGAAACGCCGTTTACGTGTGGACAAAACAGCTGCGTTTTCAAAAATACCCGTGTAGGTGTGGACGTAGCGTAAAAGAGTTAGTAGTTTATTTTCTTACTACCTGCAGTTTACTTGTATTTGCTTAATTGTTTACTAAATGTTTGAGGTGTGAAATAAACCGCAATTGAGCAAAATATGGGTGTGTGTGGTTGGAGGATGTGTTAGTGCGTGCGTGCGTGTGCGTTAACATTTTTCTGTAAAACAAACGGGGACCCAGCGAAAAAAGTCTGGGGAACCACTGCGCTAGAGTAAAAAGCGAATGGCAAGCTCATTGCAATGAGGAAAAATTGGTTGCTTGGTGATTGGATTGAATTTTTTTGCGATCGCTATTCGCCAAGTGGTCACCCAGAGGTTGACCATTTCCAACACTGTTTGTGCAACCACCCATTCAAGTGCATGGCAACTGCACAGGTCATCTGGTGGGAGGCCGTCTCCAAATCTGACTCAGACTAATCGCTCAGGCAGATTGACCAAGGCTTGCAAGCAGTCTGAGTCTGTCTGTGCCGACTTATCTATGTTAGGTCTCTTTGCAATAAAGTCAGCTGGTTGTATTCTGGTTACATGCCTATATAAAAACAAACTTGCCAAGAGCTTATGTCATTTTGCAGTAAACTGCCATCCTATAGCAACCAGGTCACCATTTGTGGAGGAATTTCTGATTTTTGTTTCTGCTTAATGTGCATTTTAATTTCTCCTTAACATCTATGGCATTGGAGTTAATCATCTCTTTATTACAACTTGGCCCAGTCCAAAACTAATAGCAGGCCGACTCCACCTTTTATTGCCATGTTGATGCACCAAAGTCACTTAACTGACTGAATTCTGGTTGCTCGACCATATTTATGTACGTGTGTACATCAAGTCTGCCCATGTCTGTACACCCATATAACTTGGTTTGCAAAAGACTGCAACCATGTGAGTTTTTAAAAGCCAGTGAAACCTAAAATGATGCTGCTCGAAACCTGTTTATGTGTTAGTTGTGTGATTGTGCAAATGTTTTACCCTCTTCTCCAGTTGTGCCAGTTGCTCCTTGTAGAAGGCATCCAGTGCTTTCAGCTGTGAGTCTTTCTTCTGTAGCTGCTGAACCTGCAAGTAAAAATACACATGCATGCAAACAGAACAGTGGATGAAAAAAAAACAAAAAACATGGAATCCAGGATAAACTTACTTAGATTATAGTTATAACATTTTAGGCAGTGGTTTGTCAATGTAACTGACATGGAAAGATATGTTGTTATCATTTAACATAAAAATACTGGTAACCTAAATTGTAGTTTATACAGCTGTGAAAAAGAGGTTACCAACACTCATCATGGTCATAAATGTTTTGTCAATTTTTGGCTTTTTGTGGTTTCTTTGAATTCTTTGGGGCTAATACAAAGAGACAGACAACCACTCACAGCCATATTTACACCTATGGGCATTTTAGAATCACTATTTAACCTAACACCAGTAAATGCATGTATTTGGACAGTGGGAGAAAGCTAGAGTACCTGGAGAGAACCCACGGGGAGAACATGCCACACAAAAGTCTTGGACAGATGGTGGAGTAAAACTCAGGACCTTCTAGCAAAAAGTGTTTGTAATGTGAAGAATTCTCTCAGTGTCCAAGTACTCTCAATTTTCTTTGGGGTCAGATTCCGGTGCCTGTATTTCTTGCAAAGGTCAAGAAGCACCAGGACCGGTGTGTATGGTATGTTTGGGTTCATTATGTTGCTGCATTGTGAATCTCTCTCAAAAGATGGAAACTACATGGAAGTACTGTGTGTAGTACTAGTGGAGTCACTTTGTGGCAGATATCAAACTCCAGATTAGGCAGAATATTCCTCAGCACGTCCTCTAAATTTGCAGCCTTCATTCGGCAAAATCTATGTCTGTCCTGAAGCTGTTGTTTGATCTTTCCATAAAAAGAATTTTGATGAACATGTTGATTAAGCGGTCACTCCTAGTCTGGCTAGCTGTCCCTTGGATGCAACAGTTTTAACCCACTGAAGGACAGTTTGACACCAAAAATACTTTGAAAGCTTACTAATTAATGCATTACATCATATATTCTTGTGGAGTCAGTTCCTGTAGCCAAGAAACAGCCCACATATATCTCCCTTGCGCTTGTGATCAATTATGTTTTTGTATGGACAAAACAAGATAAGATAATTAGTTAGCTTCAAGTAGATACATTTCACCTCTGCATTATTCGATGCTGAGAAATCTTTGCTTAGAATAACAATCCAACTTTGGGCACTCTGCCTCTTATTCTCACTTTGAAAGTATAGCAAGCCATGTTCAGCTGGAAACTTGGGGCACAGCCATACTTGTGATGGGTGAACAGTGGCTCCCATTTTATTTACTTGAGTCAGACTCTGTGAATGAGATTGTTATGCTTCCCCTGAAAGGCGGCTCTGCTCTCCCTTAGAGAGGGAATGGGGGAGGGAGGGGTGAGGGAGTTCAGATATATGACTAGGATGCCTGCTGGGCACCTCCTGAGTGAAGTGTTCTGGGCATATCCTACCAGGGGGAGGCCCTGGGGCAGGCCTAGGACATGGCTTTGAAATGCCTGGAGGAGGAAGCTAGGGAAAAGGAGGTCTGGGCTACTATGAATAGACTGCTGCCCCCTGACCCTAGATAAGTGTCAGAAAGTGGATGGATGAATATGTTCTCTGTTTTGTCTTGATCTGGTCTGAGTCTCTTGGACACCACTGTACAAATACAGCACTGGCAAATGGATGCAGTACAGATCAGCGTGTGACTTAGTGCAGTAAAAAAATTTAACATATCTTCTAAATCTAAGATTTAACAGCCTCAAGATGGGGACACGATTTTGTCTCCCAAGAAAATAGAGTCTTCACAGTGTGACAGTGTAAACAGATGTGTCCCTACAATATCAGTGATACAGGTACACACAAGTCCTCTGTCCTTTCTCTGTGCAAAGTCCAGCTTTAAGGTATCGATTAAGCAAAAAGAAAAAAAAATGCCATATATAATCACAGCTCTCAAATCGGACTTTTATCTTTTATTTCTTTTCACCTGCACCCCTCTGTTTATTCACCCGTGGATTCTCTTTTACTCCCTCCCATAAGCACCATCTTACATCCAACCATGTTATTTACAAGTAGTTTTGAAGCTGCAAGATGGCAGTTACACACAAAGAAACGTGAACAAGTGCAATTTAGTGCAAGCATGCTGACAGACATGCATACACATGCAAATCTACACCACAGTGACTAAATGACAGCAAAAAAAAAATTAATTAATTAAAAAAAAATTTGTGTCGGAGACATAGAGCAGACAGAAAAATGGAAAAGGGAGCATAGCTCGCAAAAGAGACATGAGACACAAGAGAAATGCAAGAAAAGCTGCAAAGACAATGGCCCTTATTTACCAACACGTGCATGGAAACGTTCTTACCCTGTGCAAAAAACAAGTGCATACAATCATTGTTGTATTTAGGAAACGTGCGCACCGGCCTATTTTGCACTTACTACTGAGCGTAAATTCAAAAATCTAAATCATTCTGAACCAAAAGACTTACGCGAGCTGCATACTGACCCCATTTCTCTCCTGGTGAAGCATAAAAAGCCTGCACCTCTGAGGCAAGGAAGCAGGAGAAACTCCAAGTCTGAAGAAGCTGAAACTATTCTTTCAGACAAGAGTGTTTGATGTTTTTAATGAATGATGAGGAATAGGTTTAAATTTAAACTGTAAGCCTGCACCTTTCCATTTTGTTTCCTTTAAATGCAATTGAATTTTTTTGTATTAATTCTGAACATGTCTTACGGCATGTCAGAAAATTATAGATAATGGCCTTATTCTTCATATTATCATTATTATTATTATCATCATTATTACTAGTAAGTAGTAGTAGCATTTATTTCAAAGACTTAGATGTACATTTCCTAAGACAGCCAGGATTTTATTCTTTTGTTAAGTACAAACAAATTTATTGATAAATTATTGATGAATCAATGATTTGTCTGTGAAACTTTTGTATGGATGATTACATACACAGATTTGTATGTACGTATAGTTATTACTGTAAATGAGGGCCAATATTGGCATTTTCTTTTAAAAAGCACTGAATTAACCAACTGAAGAAATCAATTATTTGTTACAGCCATAGAGAAACTGCTGTTGATACATTATAGTAACAAAATGTGATTTTATTCCAGTGCTTTGTGACTAACAAAGCACTGGAGTTATATATTTATACAGCAGAAAAATGTTGCCATGTGTATAAAGAAAGCAAGGTCAAAGTAATGAAACAAAGAACGGAAGCAATGGAGATAAAAGAATGAATAGGGACTGTTAAAAGTAGGAAGAAGGTATGTGAATATTTGAATGAAAGGGCTGGAGGAGCATTAAACTGAGAATAGATGAAGAGCCTAGAATAGTGAGTGTGTTTAAAAAATAAAAATAAAAAATAAGGAGGAAGGAAGGAAGCGGGAAAGGAGGGGTTCAATTTGCTTTGAATTCAATCAAATCAAAGTTGTTTTTGCTTCTTCTTTTTTCTTTTTTTAATTCACGAGATGCTGCAATTTAGAGATATTTCACTCTTCCAGCTGTCAAGGATTTCAGCTCAACAGAAATGATTAAGAATGACTCTAATCAACACATAAATGGTAATTTCGATTTTGTTTTAAAGTGACCTGTAGCCTGTGCAAGAGCACAATAGGGAACACTGAGAGAAAGCAGTGGGATAGATGGAAAGGACAAAAGAGAGACTGAATTTTTGAAGGTCAGAATGAAGCTTACCATTGATTCTATCTCATCTGCAGACTAGATATGTTGGGGGACAGAGAAAGAGCGAAGGAGGAAGAGAAACAAAGCAGGATAAAAAGAGAAAGATGAAAGAGAGAGAATGAAGCACAAACCGTAAGGACCAGTAATTCATGTAATCAAAAGCATAGGCGATCAGATTAGATTCCCCCAAGAAACATGCATGCAATCACATTCATCTCCAACAAAAAGTAAACAATTCAATAGGAATTTGCAAAAGATTAACCTTGTAACACCAAATGTATCAAGTATAATTAAACATTTCTGAACATAATACATGTTTTTTGTCATTTCCACAGCTCCAGATTAGCACAACATGTTTTGAGAATGTAGAACAATCATATAACTGAATATTTAACCTGCATTTCTTGAATAAAACAACATTAATGTGCAACTAATATCAATAAAAGATTAAAGACATATTATTGTTCCAAATGTTTAGTCTTTAAATAAATACAGGTTTCCATTTTAGATGCAGTGATACTGATGTTTGGCACACATGTGGCTTGTTCACTGATATTGGCACATTGGCCTTTTAGCACAATAAGATGATCTGAACCAGAGGCTAATTAGCTTCTACCAGAATTGCAGGATCACAACAGATCCACCAATTCTGCTTTTAATTAGGCATCCAGTGTCATAAATCTGTATGATCCAATTTGTTAATTTAAAACAATTCACCAGTTAAACTAATTTAATGAAGAAACAGGCTATTTATGACCCAGGCCTCCAAGACAGATTCATTTGTCTTCTTTTGCATTAAAGGAAAAGCTGCAATGTTCAGACAATCTAAATCATGTTAGCTATTTGAATTCAGCATGCCACCCCCCTGCCAACCCAAACCGGTCGTGGGAGATGGCCGTCCCTCCCTGAGCCTGGTTCTGACAGAGGTTTATTACTGTTAAAAGGGAGTTTTTCTTTCCCACTGTTGCCAAAGCAGAGTTTCATAGAAAGGCAAATAAACATGGGGACAGCGTTTGGACACACAGACTGCAAACTGGGAGGAAACACAGGTGACTCTAAACACCTAGAAAAGCTTTAAGCCAAATCTCTCTTCTTAGATCGCCATTCCCACCACAACAGCAGCATTTCCACAGACTATGAAGAAAGCCACATGCTTTCTCTAGAAACATAAGGGGTTCCATTCTGAACAAGTGGGAGCGAGACCCCTGCCATTCTGTCTGATCTCCTAGATCATCTTTTTTCAGCTGCTTGCTTTACGTCGGTGTCACCACAGTGGATCATCTGCCTCCGTCTCATGCTATCCCTAGCATTCTTCTGTCACATCAACCCTCTGCATGTCTTCTTTTCCTCACATCCCCTAAGATCTTCCTCTTTCCCTCCTGCCTGGCAGCGCCATATTTAAAATTCTGTGTTCAACATCTTCACCACCCCTCCTATCCAGATGTCCAAACCTTCTCAACCTTGCCTCTCTAAATTTTAACCTCCTATCTTTTTGTTAGTGCTAGCATTTCCAAATTATACCATCAACGCAAGTTCCACTCACTATATATTCATATCACTATTTGATTATATAATGAAATAGGAGAATTTTATGATTGTCATATCAGGATATGTTTCCTTAGTATGAAGCTTGTAGCATCTGGAAAAAGCCATATATATGAAGTTTCCACATTAGACAAGCTGTATATAATTAGCTATAGACACTACAACATCACATGATTTTTAAAGTTCAAAAACCACCAGATGGGTGCATTTGTTACACTGAAAAACTCAATATGTAGAAAAATATAATACCTGCAAACTATCATTGAGATTGACGGGTTGTCACTATCTGAAGTGCCCTGATGCACTAAATCTTACACATCTGGTGCTCCAGGCAAATTAATGCCAATCAATATTTTTAAAGCTCTTGTATCGCAGGTCTCAGATCTCAGTGGCACTGAAAAGCAGCAGCGCCGGCAAGTAACTGAGGTGAAGAGCGTCTACTCGCACACATGCACACACGTACAGCGGGGGGAAGATTCATCATAATTATCAGGGCTGCTGAACGCCAAATCAAATCAGAGCCAATCGTCTGTGTTTCATAAACAGACCTTAACTGAGGAGAGACAAAGAGCGAGAGGGCTTCTGACGGGAGAGACGCTTCCACTGTCGGGTGAAAGGCTGCAGCTGGTGCATGTTAATGCAGGTGAAAAGAGAGACTGAAATTGTTCATGTGTTCATTTTCTATGTTAGACAAGTATCGGTTTGGTGGGGATTAGGTAGAATCAGAAGAGATTTAATTAAAAAAAGAAAGAAAAAAGAAAAAAGCTGCACTCCTTTCTATCTGTGTCTGTCTGTGTTGGTCCCGTTTTAATTTGCAGTCAGAGACGAGGCTGAAAGTGAATCAGATGACTCTTCCGGTGTCCCTCCAGGGACCTGCAAGTCTATGGTAGATAACAGCCAGCCAAGCGTGGCTTTACACACAACACACCGCAGCACCACACCATGATACACTTAAAGAGGATGACTCAAGTATACACACTGATGTTTATTGAGTCTGTCCATTTTTCTGTTGGGTACCTGACGTTGTCCGTTCATGTCTGTTACCCAATGATGCTTTTTTTTTCCCCCTACAGACAAAAAGCCACAACTAAATCAGCATCTCCAAGTCTAAATCTTATTTTTGACTGTATTTAGAGCAATATTAAGCACCGCACAGCACCTTTGCTTTCAATACTTAGCTCGATCCATCTTTGAACTGGCAACGCGGAAATGCTAAATCAGAGTCACCATAACTTAGTGTTTCCCAACCTTTTGGAGCCACAGCACATATTTCGCATTAGAAAAATCACACAGCACACCACCAAACAAAAAGTCACAAAAAGCATATTGATCATTTTTCCCCACACACCAGGCATAGCAGAATTAGCTCCGTTTGTCCCCAATATACCATTTTTGCTTTCTTTTAACCACTACTCACGCTAGGGCCGTCATCTGGGTTGGAGGTTTCTCCAGGACCCAGGTCAAACTGACTACTTTTTCTTTTCAAATATTAATTTATTGCTATTATGCGCTGCGCTGTCTCATGACTATGTAATTTCTTCTTCGTCTTCTGTTTTACTGGCAGTTGGCAACCCATTTAATTGGAGCAAGATGTTGTACTGCCCTCTAGTGGAAAAGAATGTAATTGTTCTGCCTTTTACTCACGTCGGTCACTTAGAACACCATTCAGGTGAAACTAGATAACCTTCCACGACACACCTGATCATTTGTCACGATGGCACAGTGGTTGGGAAACACTGCCATGACCACACGGTCAAACAGCAGAAAGGTGACACAGGTAGTGCTGTGCTGATGGTCAGAGTGATCGCTAGAAATTTGACAATCAATGACGATAATGCACGAAATCAATATTAACACCATCTTTAGAGTCATTTATTTAAATCACTAGTTTAATGTTGGCTTGTTTGCTTATAACTGAAATGAATGTGTCTGGTAAGCGGCTACACTGATCGATCATCATAAAATGAAAGAAAACAGAAAGAGGGCGTTTCTGTCTGATGGGCTTACTAACATTACAGGTTTAGATAACGGCAAAGGTGGGACCAAGTCATTGTTTTGCAAGTCTCAAGTAAGTCTCAAGT